TTTCCTCCTTACTTGTCATTCAAGTTGAGGGCGGGGTAGTGACAAATTCTTATTTTCTCTCCCATCATTGGCTATCAATCAAGCATAAAGGCGTGGCATGCTAATTGGGTTCTCTTTATTTTTTCTTGTGTGACTAAAGGGGATTCCCCCTCCACTTTAACATTCAAAAAGGTTCCAGGAAATGCCTCTTTTACTAGCCAGCTGCATAGGAAAGAAGGGGGAGGGAGGGGACTCAGTTGTGCTCTTTTGAAAACAACCCCCCCCCTTTCCTGCATTCCAGAGGAGGAGCGTCATGGTCTTAGTAGATCTTCTGTTCTCTTTTCTGTTGATTTATGGGTTCAATGCATAGATCTCTAGAAGCTGAGAAGGGGAAAAACCTGTCAAAAGACTTCGCTTTTTTTTTTCTTTTTAAAAGGAGAGGGAAAGATGAAGAAATGTTTGTTTATTTTGATTGTTAAAAAGTGTCCGGGAAATCGACCCTTCCGGAAAAGGGACGTCCGGATATGGGACGTTACACTGTATTATGTAACAGCAGATTGTTTGCAATGAAAATTCGGTTGAATATGCCACTTGGACTATTATATTTTAAAGGCAACTCAAAAAAAGCATATAAGATAATAAAAAAATCTAAAGATAATATATAATACAGGGTTCATTCTTGACAAAGTTTGGGCAATGCTGCTCTGTTTTACCTCAGACTAAAAACAAAAAACTTTCCACCCCACATGCTCTTTGATCTTGACTAGGGCGCCCCAATATTAAAAGTGTATATTACACTGTCATACAGAAACCAGCATGAAGTTTCATAGTATTTATTAGTCTAAAAGGATTCATCAATCATACTTCCTTTGTTTGAAAATTTCACATATTGTGTGAAACATTTGACTTTGCAGTTAGCTTGACATATATTATTTATCAAAAACAGCAGTCTCCAACCAAACTTTAATCACTTTTTAACCAATAAAGTATTATTTTAAAGGATACTTTTATGAATATATTAACATTAAAAGTATATTATTCACTATTTAACGCATTATATTCAGTATATTATGACCTCATGTTCAAATTTCCATTTTTGCCCCAATTTTGCTCATTCCATCAAACTTCAAGTCTGACAGAGAAATAATGATGATTTGATGGCTTGATTTCCTTTAAAAGGTGTATTATATTTATTAAAATCAATTATCAATTTAAAAATTTTACCATGAGTCCAAAGCACCTTATGTATGAATAATTTTAAATAACTTACTTTATCTACATGAAAAACTAGATCCAGTTCACAAACATTTTTAAAGCATTTATCCAAAGTCTCCACAAATACCTAACAAAACAAACAACAAATTTAATTCTACTTTTACAATACCATTTTTTTACACTAAAGAGATAAAACAAATCAAAAATAAATTACAATGTATCAGTAGTGGCATACCTTCTTGAGATAGAAGACTGGTGTCAAAGAATTTAACTACATAGCAGATCTTTCTAAGCTTTAAAATTTATTTTAAATTAATAATTTATTGTTCATTTTTTAATGTCCTTTTGGAGCATTCAGTTAAAGAAGGTTTTCATTTTTTGCTATGATATTTCCAACTGGTCTTTGTCATCTCATAATTCCGATTTGATGGACTGGATTACTGATAGTAGAGTCAGTGAAAATTTTTCCCCCATATTGAAATAGTATTCTTATTATGTGAGGATGACACACATTCAAATATCTCCCTGATGCAGATACACCAACCATTTAGGGTTAAGGAGCGATTAACCTAACTTAATTGTAACTTTTCAATTTGTATATAAAATTGGTATCTCCAATAATTCACTTTTTGTCAAAAACAATTTTAAAAAAAGAAGTTAAAAGCTTTCTACGTAAGTAGGTTAAGCGTAGTTTTCAATAACTAACAGCTTCAACTTATCAACTAGTTCCAGTACTGTTTGTACAAGGCAGAATTGTCAATCTCTGTTTTTATTTTTTACCACCTTTGCAATTTTTTTTCTCTAAATGTCATTGTTCTGTTTGGTACGAGCTGATAAAAGAAGCCAATTTCATCTGCATTTTGCATGTCTTCAGGAGAATATATTTTTTCAATCTGCTTTTTTCCTTGTTGTTTCCAGGATGTGGTATCTATGACTGGAGCTAGTGTTTCTTCACCCGAAATGGTTTTAAAAATCTCATGTTGTTCATGAAATGAGGCAATCCACACTTATAGGTGACTTTAAAATCATTGTTGCTTAACAAATATGCAAATATTCTTGCTTTTTCGGCTATCATTGAACCACTAATTGGTACATTTTTCTGGCTCATTTTATGAAACCATCTTAGAATAGCTTTGTCAACATCGTCATTCTCTGTACCTTCAAAAAATTCTTTATGAAGTTGATTTTTTATTCTTTCACAGCATCCGCGATACCTTTCTTTTCCTCAAAAAAGAAGCTATTGCTTATTGTTAAATCCCATATCTTTTTAGCAACATCAACTTGTTTCAATACTTGATCAATTCCCGAAATTATTTTTAAGTTTACTTCAAATAATAATGCTTTTTGCCAAGCCATCACTTAAACTGTACACAAATAACTGATTTGTTAGGAAATCGGTTCAAAGTGAGCTAACTTAATGAGAAATTTTGAAAGTGACCACTGGGAGAAAAAAAAAACTTCCCAACTATTATAAACAAACTCAAAAATGAGAACCTGTTCTGACTATGCTTTGCAGATGAAGCGGACGCTTCCCTTAAAATCAGGATGAGAGGATAACCATTCACCCCTTTGCACATGGCAAGAAATGCATGACATGGCAGTAAACAAATCAACCTGTACAATGGTAGGGAAAGGAGAAATCTATTGCATGCTTTATCACCCTTTCCCAAGAGAATATTTTCTTTTCCCAAACACAACAAAAGAATGAACAACTGGTTACAGAAACAAATAAATTCTTTTTTGTTACCTCACATCATTCAGACTCTATGGGGAGTTATTTTTTAAGGATAGAAAAATCTGGTTATGAGTTCCATCAGTTTTCTAAGGAGGAAAAATTATCATTTTAAACAGATTTAGCTGAGATGTGATTCTCATCGCAAGCACATTCAAAATAAATTAAGTTATTAGAAATTTCACCAGGACCTTAAGGAAATATTGTTATAAACAGGTTTATTGTTATAGACAGTATCATTACGCACAGGTTTTATTGTATTTATTGATGCCAGTGTTGCTTATAATTTCATTTTATAAAAGGCATTTAATAGCCAACCCAATTCTGAGTGTAGGACTATTAATGTTCAGTACATAGCCTTATTAATTTTGAATCCAACACAGAAAACAAGGAAACTTCTGGATCAAGCACTAGGACAAACTAGAACTCGTGGAGGACTTTATGATGGAACTAGCCCACATTTGCATTACACGGGGAGGAAAACCCCCAAAACCACCCACAATTAGGCTGACAACAAGGGGATTCTAACCACTGATGATACTTTACGTTAGCACTGTGGTTGGTGTGGGCTAGGAACAAAATTTGTATTAACCAGTCATCACTGTGATTCACACTTGTGTCACCTCGTTGGGAGGCGAACTCTCTATTCCCTGAGCCATCATGGCTCCTGCTTATTAGTTGTGATAATAAGTACTACAAATATTGTGGTTATAGGTACAAATTAAACTAATATAGATTCTGTGATAATAGGTTTTATTTCTGTGCCCATAAAAGAAATAGCACAATAAAAACCACAGAGGAAATTCACTTCAGACAAAATTTCTGTAAGGAGCATTCAACACTAAACTTAATTTGTTATCATTAATTTGTTTGTCATTCAAATTGACTTTTAAGTACATTTTTATGAAAAATTTATTTTCTAATCATTTAAAGTATTTTTCAAGTACTATTTTTTTCTCATTTTAACAAATAGAAAATATTGATATCTAATACAAAAAAAAAAAATATTGAAATGATTACATTACCTGTATAAGATCCAATATAGCAAGTTCACTTTCAGAGGAGTCCACACAAAAGACTATGTATAATGTAGCATAATGGCGATAAATGATTTTTACACTTTTATCATCTAAAATGCTGAAAAAATTTTATTAATTAGACAAAACATCTCATAAAATACTGGAAAAAAATTAGAAAATGCCCTGCTTAGTTATAATTTAGAGCTATATAATGTAATTATAGGGTACAATCTGTGCAAAAACGTAAATTGCACGATTTTTCACTGTCCCCGCAAATTGACAATACTTCTCCATCTGCACCTAGTTCACACCAAAATATTATTCTCTCAAGTAAAGGTAAAGTATAAATAGAAGATGAAAGAAGATGATAGAAGTTTGAAGGAGAGCAATGGTCCAGTCAAGACCATCGTCAACGGGGGGTGAGAGGGGTGTCTTGAAATTGCTTTTAATGTACAGTGAAATATGCTCTTTTTAAAAAACCATACTGAATAAAAAATAAATAATTAACATTTTTTAAATTTAAAAAAAAGAAGAAGAAAAAAAAATTTTGAAGACTTTTTAGAAGAAAAAAAAATTTTTGACCAAAAAAAAATAATAAAATATGACATATTTACTTATACTCTGCTTCTAGTGTGAATTTAAGCAGCATGCTATACCAAATTTTAGCTTCATTAGTTTCATAGAAGTTGAGAAATTTTGCACACCAGGGGAAAAAATTTTAACTGAGAAAAATAGATTTAAAGGCAAAATTTTAAATAACTAAAAACAAAATACTTGAGTTTGTAGACGATCCCAATTTAAAAAATAGGTGTGTTATTTTCTGTTTTCAGAGAGCGGGTTTCAGTATTTTTGCTCTAACTTTGGAAGTTTATTGAGTATTATCTTATACTTAGTGTCCAATTGCTGCAAATAAAACAGGTAAGAAGATCAGGGGTGATTGTGAGCCCAAGTCAAAATTCCGGAAAATTTCCAGAGTTCAAAAAAAAAAAAAAAAATTTAAATTTAAAAAAATTTAAACTAGGTTTTTCTAGGAGAAGTAATTAAAATTTACAAATATGTCTTACTTTCTTGAGTTTATGATTATAACTATTTACTGATAAAAAATGTATCTGGCTCTCCCTTACAAACAAAATAAATTGTGTTTTTAAGTTCCACTTTTGAAAATTTGATTTCCGGAAACTTCTATGATCAATGATTTTTTTAAACGTCTGGACCTTCGATCTCCGGAAACTTCCGGATCACTGTTAGCGAAAAATCCGGAAATCCGGATTTTTTCCGGAGCACAATCAGCCCTGGAAGATATACTTTTATAAAAAAAATAACTAAAATTTTGTTACAAAAATCTTTAATACCCCTTAAAAAAAAAATTTTTTTTAACTTTTAGCAGGCAAAAAAAAGTTTTCTGCGACTGCCAATTTTCATTTCAAAACATGGAAAAATCAAGAGAAGCCAACTTGGGATTCTATAAAATATTATAAAAAATAATAAAGAAAAATAAACTAAAATTATTTAAATTATTTTAAAATGGTTAACTGTAACAAAGTGGCATTTCATATAAGCTTCTGAATTATTTAGAAGCAGTAGTGATAGTATTTTCATATAGTCTTACAGTACAAATCATTGTACAAATCAATACAAATAGTACAAAATATTCATGAAATACAAATCAGAATTTGCAACAAATTGCTACTCATTAAAATATAAGTTTCAAAAAAATGAGAAAAAAACACCACATTTTCCATCCAACGATCTTTTAAATGTTTGTCATTTCAGAATTACTTTTTAGATTATCAATTTAATACTTTTGTGGTTGCCTCAATAGTTCATTAATTCTAGCTGAAATTATTATGGAATTTTTTTTTTCAGTCTTTGTTCTCAAAATTCCTCCGAAGTTGCGTTTTTCTCTAACAAATCTGCATAAAAAAAAAAGTTGTTATTATGCACAAATGAGAACTTGGGAAGAAAAAATAGAGGGAGTTGGTAAAGGTGAAATAAATGTATCGTTAAAGAGAAATTGAGTAATTAACAAAATTTAAATTCTGGAGAAGCGGAACTCCATAAAAATTTTATTGGAATAAAAATTATTGATTCACGGAAGTCCACGAATCAAAAGTCTTGAGACTCATGAAATTCCAAGAACCAGCAAAAGAATAACATACCTGGATCTATTGATTTTGAAGTTTCTTTTTCACAGAAAATGAAATGAATATAAAAACAAACTTTAAATAACTAATTCTAATAAGTAAACCAGCTCCTACTTTTTGAAGAAAAAAAATGAATAAAATGAGCAGTAGAGTGAAAATAATAACTTACTTTCCCCCTTCAATGAAATTACAAACTGTGTCTCCTCTTTTAGCCACTACCTGATAGATTTGTCTTATAATGAGTTGTTGTCTCTGTTCAGACTAGAAAAAATGACAACAATCAACAATAACAGAACACAAAATAGTAAAATCCATTTCAATAAATATCATTTTTTTTTTCCCTATAAAATAAGGATAGTTGAAATATAAAATGCAGCTATTATTTTCCATTAATCTAATTAGTCCTTAAAATATTCTGTTTTTGTCCAATTATTATGTTCAGAAGTACCCTCAGCCTAAATGTACTTATTAGACCATTAAAGTTTCAGATATAACTTTTAACCCTTTATGCACTTGCAAAACCTTCAAATCCCACTAATATTAGTTCCATATAGCATTGAAATTAAACAAAATATCCCATCGGGTCTTGTCTATTCCTGTATTATGACCTTCTGCTTATCATTACTTGTTGAAAACAGACAATTATTTGAAGTTGAACATCACCTACAGAACTATGCAATTGATATTTCATTTGAGGACGCGATTTTATGATCAGTCTTTGTTCTTTAATTCTCAACTTTCCATCTCGATCCTTTTTGAAAGTAAATCTTTCATATTTTTTAATTTATTCATTAACATTTTCAACCAACTAAACGAAATAATTGAATAGCAAAATAAAGCTCAATTAATGAATAAAAATTCAATGTTTTCAATACATAGCTATTATATCTAGCAATCAAGGTCAAAGACTGTTGAAAAGCTAGTCATGTTTTCTTGAAGATAAAAAAAAATATTACATAAAAAATTTTATTTTCTATTTTGGATCTTTTTCTTTCTTTTATTTTCAACCATTTCCTTACTTTCTTTCTTTATAAAAAAAAATGCTTTTATTATTTCCCATCGGTGCTGCCATCTAGTGCGGCAGAAACTAGACGTCTATCTTAACATGACCAACGGTATCTCACCCATTGTGGTGGTCCTGAAAGAGTGGATACCACCTCTGGAGAACGCACTAGGTCTGCTCATCGGCAAGACCGATTGTGCAGCTCATTGGAAATAAAAATAAAATAAATAATTATTTCTCATTATTTTAATTCTACATCAAATGTCAAAAGTATTATTTTGAAGAAATATACATTCCCATTTATTCTCTTTGCACTAGCTGGCACATAAAGCCTTACAAAGAAATACATATGGCTAGATTAAAGTTCGGCTATAAGAGCTGCAGCCCCTGGCCCAAGATTGTTGAAGGGCCCCCATCAACATGAATTGCAATGAGAGAAAAAGTTTAATTAAAGAGTAAGAATACTTTTTTCTTTTCCTTCTTTTTTTGTACACCTTTATTTGACATTTTATGATAATTTAGAATTTCATGTTTTAATACATAAATTTAAGGTTTGACTTATAAACTTATGTTTATTTAGGTATTTATTAGTTTTAATTTCTTATGTTTATATAACAAGAAAAACACATTTTTTAACAGAAAATTTTATAGGAATTTTTTGAGACCAAAAATTTCCCCCGGGCTGCCTGAATATTCTCTAAAGCTATGTTTAGGCGACAGACATATTCTGCTTATTCAAAGCAATTCAATTTACTAGAAAATTGCATATAATTAATAAATATGATTATGGTAACATCCATGGCAAAACTCAGGGAGAAGAGATGTAGATATATGATTAAAATATAGTAAAGTAGACTGCAATGATTAAAATTTAGTAAAGTAGAATAATGAGTAGTGTGATATAAAAATAATTACTTTTAACATTAGTTTAATAAAGATAAAAGGTTCAAAAGCAAATTTTATTTATTTTTACTCTGATTCATGCATATCATTTACAAGTCGATCATATTTTAAGGTATAATTTTCAGCATATAACATCTAAAAGGAAATTAAAAGTTTTAGATGCTTATAAAATCACTAACGTTTGACAATAATTTAACATTTCATAAATTAAATATTCGCTCTCAAGAAAAGCAGAATAAGACAAAAAAAATTCCTAAAAATTACTTACAATAATAAATTGGCTTGAATAAACAAGAACTAGACATTTCTTAGTAATTTCTCATGATGAAATAGGCTTATTATTATGCTAAACCAATTTATTTTTTAAAAAAATTAATCTCTACTTTTTTTCAAAAATTTGGAGAAAGAGTCAACATTGGAATCCTTCAGCAAAATCTCTCTCCAAAAAGTAGTTAAGTTGTCACATAGTTATTCACATTATTTGTAGGCAGAGATTATTTTGCCAGCAGAAGTAAACTTCTAAAACGATTTGTTTATCTAGAAAACTAGGAGAATAGTTAACTACATATGTGATAAAATAGTTGTATATAACTACAAAATAAATGTTTTTTCTGACCACTGGCAATAACATACCAATCCAGAATTAAAAATAGACCCATATCAAGGCTGTCAAATTGACAATTTTTTTGAAAACTAGGCAACCAAGCTACTTTCCCTTAAAAATCAAAATTAATTTAAACAATCTTAATTCTGAATTCTTATCAGGATCAAATGATGAATAGATACTTAATAAATTATAAAAATTAACTTACATAAAATCGGTAAAATTTCGTCAGTCTTGGTGTCCCATGAACATTAAATATTAAAACAGACTCAATCATACTTTGTATAAATAAAAAAAATAAAACAATTGAATTACACAAACCAAAAATCAACTGTTTGATAAATTCCAATACTTTTATTTTTTAAAACAGAAAGTCATTCATTATAAACAATAAAACACTAAGCTTTATCAATGTGATTTGAATTTAAATTTACGAGATTTCTGTAATTTTTAAATTCTAAACAGTGGTGAGTCTTAATAATAGAAAAACTAATATCACAACATAAATAAAACATAAGGCTTGCCGTGTTTTGAGTGTTATCCCCTATTTGGCTATATTTATATAAAATATCGCTGTCTGTTATTTTTGGGGGGACATCATAACATGCTGGTCGAGTACTCAAAATTCGTTTTTTGCTAAATTAAACGGATTAAGCTAAAATTAAAATGAAAGAAAGAGTTATATTGTAAACACTACAAATATATTAATATTGGCTGGCGCGCTGTTTTAAGCTAAGTCAGCGTAAAAATAAGTCGGAAATGGCAACCCGGAAATTTACGACGAATATCAACTCCCAGTACCACCTGTGCTTAACTTTTCACGGTCAGCCATCCATTTATGATTTCATAAACACACTGTCTTGAATGCCAGCATTTTTTTAACACTATAGTTTGGTGATCAGCTGAAATTGATGATCGCCAAGAGAATTCTATTGCCAAGAGCTTGGATGACGGAATTTTCAGAGTGAGCAAAAATGAAGGAAAGGTTTGAGTTGGAGTGATGCAACAAATACCCTAGGAACAGTAGCGTACATAGACTTAGGTGAACTCCTTCCCCCGTGGGATTTCTAAATGCTACCATCCTGGACCTACCTCAGCAGATTTAAAATTATGATACGAAACAAAAATTATTAATTTTAATGTAAGATAATGAAAATCGTAATTGAGATGAAAGACCGGAGTTTAGAGAAGAAATTATATTGAACATTATATACGTTGACCACATTGAACTTAAATTTATCCTAATAATATGAAAAATAATAAAAATGTATTTTAATAATTACATTGAAAGTTTATTTAAGTTCAAGTGTAACTAATATTTATTTAGTGAATTAAAAAATAATTGTAGGAAAAATATTCAAGCACAAATTCGATACATTAATGTATAGAATTATTGTTATTAATATATGTTTGTATTTTATTCTCTTCGTTTTTTACAATTAAGAAATTTTTGAATAAGTTCGCCCAAATTTAACTTACGAACTCGGCTGCTTTCTATGCTTAATACAGCAGGACCGCTTAATCTATCTTCCGTTATCGTACTTCTTAAGTAAGTTTTGATTAGCTTCAGTTGGAAAATTACCCCTCTGCTGATGCTTATGACGATGGCAAAGTCAGAAATATAAATAAAAAATGCATTGCATATATCAGGGAGACTAGACGATAAAATATTATTCACAATCATCAAAAGATGAGCAACTTCGGCAATTTTTGTTAAGCTTCTCTCTTTTACTTCCCTTGACAAAATGCTTCGCATACAAATAATTTCTAATACAGTTAAGCTTGACACATCGTTTTGATACTTTTCGCAAAATTTAGTGACTTCCTCAAGGTCTTTATCTGTGAACTCTGCTAACGTTTTGAGAACTAAAAAACTGAACATATTGTTGATTAAGGACATGCTCTGAAATCTTTTATGAATTTGGTTTAACATTATATAAATAGCAGCATAAAAAAACTTTAACTTTGAAGCTGTAACAGGGATCTCTAAACTGAAAATCTTTTTCTAGTTCATCGAAAAAACTTTTAACTCTTATTTGTCTTTTAGTGGGCAATGTAGTTTCAGTTTTACATTCCTCTTTTCCTCATTCATAAAGCTCTTTTCCTCGTTCATAAAGCTCTTTTGCTTTATTGAAGAAACTATCAAAACTCAAGCGAAATTTTTTAAGAAAAATTACGTTACTCTCTAGAAAGCAGCAGGCTTCATCCAATGATATTTCAGTACCTTGCTTTGAAAGACTGGCATCAAAATGAATTTAAAGGAAAACATTTGTTTCTATAAAGCAGTTGTTTCTGCAATTTCCTTACCTTTAGTTGATGTTAGAATGATGTAAGAAGGGTATTTCATCTCGTTGCGTAAATTATCGTTCATTGCTGTTAAGCAATCTTATCTGGAAGATAATTTAGTAGGGCACTATTTCTTAAGTGTTTTTGTTCCAATACATTCTTCCAAAAAGGCTCATCTGGGTAAACTCTCACTAAAATAGATATAAATTTATTCATCAAACTATAGAATGCAACTATATAATATTTCCTACTGAATCATTTATAACTAAATTCAGATTATGCGATTGATGTTGCGTAAGTCTTCACGATGTCCTCTAGGAGCGAAATTGTAGGTTGATATAGAGATCATATCATCCAAAATTTGTTTTAATACCTCACGTAATATTTCGTTATACTTTTGGAATGTTGTTAAAATATCTTTTTGGTTTTTTTTTATGCTATATATAACGCACTCATTCAAATAAGCTCTAGAAATTCGCGTTTTTTTTTCTCCCTCAAACCCAGCCAGTCTCTAAAGAACCTTTGCACCATGCCTTGTTGAAATGTACATTACCTCTATCAGCAAAAATCCAACAAGGTTCGCAGAAAGATGACGAATAACATAGCCAACTCCTTTCTAAAATTTGTCTAGTTTTAAGTTTACAAAAATAGTGTTCAGAGTTAAAGGAATTTGCTGTAGGTTCTTTGGGAAATGGACTCCATCAATAGACCTCTGGTACAGAATTTGAAATTTATTAGAATTTATTAATTTATTTAGAATTAGAATTAACTCAGAGCCAAATGTTCTCTTTTTACTCATTTTTAATAAAAAATAAAAAATTTAAAAAAATACACTTAAAATATCAAAATGAAATTAATTAAAAAAATTAATGAATGATTTCTATTGGTAATATATGAAAAATAAAAGAATCTTTCGAATTTAGGATATCTCCTGTACATTCGCACATTTGAAAAAAACATGAGGTTTGCGCTAATAGCAAGGAAGCGATGTAACCTTCTTCCCTTAAAATAAAATAAATCTGTTCGTTATCATACAGCAACAATGTCAGTATTCATCTACGAAAAGGTAGCCCAAGATTAAACTATGCCTATGTGACTTCCTTATCAAAGTTTCGGCCCCGTCAGGGGACCCAACTCATTCATCTCAGTGGTAGTTATGGTACAAAAGCCGTGGCTCCAATCAGCGGGGTGTAAAAAATTAAAATGCAAGCAAATGGGTAAAAACAATATAAGACATGAAAATGAGTACAATAAGGATATCATGAGATAATTACAGGTATTTACAGAATATTTACAGAGAGATAATTTCGGTCACCTGCCTGCCTCCCCTCCCCCCTCGCGGGATTCATGGGTGCACAGACAGGGACTTTGATTTGAGGAAGTGGGATAGGATAGGTATTAACTAGTTAAATCTTTTAGATAAAACTGCGTCTGATAGATAAAATACGGTTGCCGGGCTATATAGGCTGTTTTCCCTAATAAGCTCGAAGTCGAAAACTTGGTTATAGTTACACGTAGTGCATTTACGTGCTTCATTGAAGAAGGAGATAAAGAGTTTAACAGTGTGCTCCTCAAATGAGTCATTGTTCAAATCTTTTCTAATGTCGCTCATTCTGAGCCTACGGGGGGCTTCCGTAATTCTCCTTATCATTTTATTTTGGGCCGTCTCAAGTTTTCGCTTCTGGGAGTTCGAAAGGGCACTTCATGCCGGGCAGCGTAGCTCAAGATTGGCCTAATGCATTGTAGAAATTAAGTTCTTTTGGTCCTCAGGGCTAATTTTGAGGTGTGGTTTAAAATAGATTTTAGTGCATAAAACGCACCCTCGGCTTTAGCAGTGATACTGGAAATATGGGCGTTCCACTTCAGGTTGCGCGTGAGAGTTAGCCCAAGATAAGTTGCCTTATTTACAACTGGGATAGCTTCATTAAAGAGGAGAATGTGCCCAAGATTAAATCGAGTTAGCATGCCTTATATACTAATGAATTGTGATGGTTAATAATCGTATTGGTTGTGACACTACTATACTCCCCCATCAGAATTTTATCAATGATAGTTGCAGTATATTGCGAAAGAACGGGAAAGCTGAGGTTCACCGGATTTTTTAAGCAAATCAGCTGTTCAATGTGGATCACCCATCGTTGTTGGATATTCATATCACCCAAGGAGTTAAAAATTTGGAGCATTCTCCTGACCAAACTATTGGGACCATATTTCCCAGATTGCGTCTACCCGCTTTATTTTGGGGTTCGAATCCGTTGAAGCAAAGGTATGTTTACTCAGAGTGCGTTTTCCTGTGTGATTTCGTAACTTAAAATATCTTCTGCACTTATTAATTAGCATATTTGAGGTCTCCCCCTTGAACCAATAAGATTGAGTCGGATCATTAGATCAAAAATTATTCAGGGTGGTCCGTTTCTTTTTTCTTTCTTTCTTTTTTTTTTTGCGCAGTGTGCACTAGCGATAGTATCAAATTGCATTGTCAATGAAAATCTCATGGCAAAGTATGTTTTAGCTGAGCGTACGAAACGTTGCAAAAAAAAAAAAAAAAAAAAAAAAACCGCATATAATTATATTGATTTAAGATTATTTTCATCTTAAAACTAGCTTTATTCAAGGATTTTTCCTGCTTGAAAACCCTAAGACAACTTCGCTTTAAGGTTCTTTTCCAAGGTTTTTGATAAGGGTCATGTGCTTAGAATAGAGCAGGTAGTCGCAGACCTCATTTTAAGGTTAGGAGGTTTACACGTAGATAGAGAGTCAACCATCACTGGCTGCGGTCAGTGTGCGGATGGGTGACCACTTGGATCAGTCTGCGTAGGGACCGAGGGTGTGCGGTATTGGTCCTCGTTAAACTGTGCTACCGTAATGTGTTCGACTTCGCGCGCAGGTCGTCGGGCTACCGAAGCGGGGGTGCCATCCCCTCCGCAGAGCATCAAAATTGTGATGGCAAGTCTTCAGATCATCCTCCGGGATGCTTCCCAGACCGTGGCCAATAGCCCAATGGGCAGCGCTAGTGCGACGTAACTTAACAACAACAACAACAATGTATATAGAGTAAAATACTTTTTTAGATTACCATGAAAAGGTTTTTGCTGAGTGAAAATAAATGCTATCTGGGATTAAAGAAATACTTCAGACAATGCAATTTTTATTTTAAGTGTATTGATACTACTTGGTACGATTCGCGATCGCAACACTCGAATACGCCATCTGGGGAGAGACCGGCTTCATGCTTTTAGCCCTTCTCCCTTCCCTCTCCTCTTCTTTTCAGTTGTATAGTAATGTACTACGATAATTTCCCTTTTCTTAATATTTTTCCCTTTCATTTAATAAAAATATTTTTTTAAATTTCTATGATGCTTTTCTTTAGAACTATGTTTAATGTAGTTTTCAGTTCCATATAGTTTTTTAAGTTAAAAGATTTTAATCTCTGTGAAAATCAAGAGAGAAATTAACGTACTTCCTTCCTCTATGATTGATTGATTGATTTTATTGAAATTACATACATTTGCTGACTTGTGTGCTCAATATATAGGCTTATAAGTCATTGTCAAGTAGAAAATACAGATAGAACAATTCAGAGAAAGACATCACAAAGAATACATCCAGGGTTACAGCGGGATTCGAACCCGCTACCTCCACGCTTAACAGAGCGTTTGGACCGGCGATACCGCTCGGCCAGGGAGGCCCCTTCCTCTATGACTTTCCACACGCCAATGGGGAAAGCATGTGAAAGTGTTGCCATAGGAAAAGAGTTCTGCTCTACGCCACCTGCAGCCCATTTCGATCGCCAATATTAGATACGATTCTAGCTTCGCATGTCAATTTTTGCATAAAAAATTTCTTTTTTCTTCAGAGAGGGGGGCCTCCCTGGCCAAACGGTATCGCCGGTCCAAACGCTCTGTTAAGCGTGGAGGTAGCGGGTTCGAATCCCGCCGTAACCCTGGATGTATTCTTTGTGATGTCTTTCTCTGAATTGTTCTATCTGTATTTTCTACTTGACAATGACTTGTAAGCCTATATTGAGCACACAAGTCAGCAAATGTATGTAATTTCAATAAAAAAAAAATCTTCAGAGAGGTAAAAAATTTCTGAAAAGTTAAATCAATTCCAAAATAAACAAATTAAATACGTATTTCAATTCATATTGTTGTTGTTGTTAATTTACGTCGCACTAGAGCTGCACAATGGGCTATTGGCGACGGAATGGCTGGGACGTATGGCTGGGAAACATCCCGGCGGATGATCCGAAGACATGCCATCACAATTTTGATCCTCTGAGGAGGGGATGGCACCCCCGCTTCGGTAGCCCGATGACCTGCAACGCGAAGTCGAGCACTTTACGGTAGAATAGTTTAACGAGGACCAATACCGAACACCACTAAATTGCATTTTGGAATTTAGTTAGTTTAGTAAAATTTTCAAATAATATTTAAAAAATTGTGCGTCTTAACGATCAGTCCGATCACCGGGACTATTTCAATTCATAATAAAAAGCATCAAGAAGATATGCTAACGTTTCAATAATATCTTTCAAAACCGAAAGTAATAACCAGTCCTTAACCATTTTTTTTCTGAATTAAACTGTGTGGTCTTACCGAGTGGTCTTGTTGCTCCTCCGAGCACTTTGCAGTGAGAAAGAAATAGGTTCAAATCCCACATGTAGGGGGAGGATCTTATTTTAAATACGTCAGCATGTTGCTGTTCGTTGACGTTGACGTAATTTACAACCCGTGATTTTGAGAATTTCATTTTAAGGGAGTGTGGGGGGGGGGGATAAATATAAATATTTTGTGTATTGGTTAGTGTAATCTAAATTTCAAATTTTAGTATATTGTATTTTCTCTTTGAAATCAAATAAATATTTTGATTTTAGTTCTCTTACTGTTATAATTGTGGTAAGCAAAATATTGCAATCATATTTTTTACTGAGCTTTGAAAATCTGTTTATTTCTATTGATAATAATGTATGTAGATGCCTTATGAGTAATTGAACGTGACGTAATGCCTCTTAATTTATAAACTTGTATGCTTGTAATATTATCGATTATTATTTTTTTGTATTTCAATTGATTAGGAAATAGATCTGTAAGAAAACCTTTGGCATCAGGTAAAATGCAGAGCTGGATTTAAATATAACGTTTAAAGAATTTCCCCTGCTTGTTTGTAGTTTTAGTTTCAAAGCGTTATTTTTTTCCCCCCTATAAGCAGAATCTACGTCAGGTAAAATCATAAAACATACGTTTGTTAAATTAGATTTTGTAACATTTAGGAGATAAATTTGACAATTCCTGATAAATAAAAGTATACACACAATATTTTATGGTATAAACAGTACAATGAAATGCTAGAAATAGAAGGAAAAGTTATTATATTATTGTGCACTTTTTAACAATGCTCATATGTCTTTTTTTATTACTAAAACTGGGTGTACTCTTTTTCATGTGAGTTTTCTTTGAGAAATATGTAATCAAGCTTTTAGTTCCCACAAAAAATAAGCATGCATGCTAATGCTTTCATGAATTTTCTTTATTTAGATTCTCAAGTATGACTTCAAGGAAAAAAGTTTTGCTGAAAGTTATTATTCTTGGAGATTCTGGTGTTGGAAAAACTTCCCTCATGAATATGTACGTGAACAAGCGTTTTAGTAATCAATATAAAGCCACTATTGGTGCTGATTTCTTGACTCGTGAGTTGGTAGTGCAAGATCGACTTGTAACAATGCAAGTATGTATCATTAACATATGTAGATTTTCTTATATAAATCTGAAAGTAATACGCCTGATTTTTAGAGAAAAAAATTACTCTGTTGTTTTCATTCAGAAAAAATAAAAAAAAATTCAAGCTTTTTTGCGAGCCTTGCTCATATAGTTGTTACTTTATTAATATTGCTTCTTATATTGATTAAAAGACAGTTTCTTCTTTGTCTTTTTTTTTTCAATTTATGCATATAAACTTTCAAATCTAATTAGTTTACATTAATAATAAAAAATTATAAGCATTTTTCATGTTAAATAATGGATTACAGCAACTTAATACATTTTGTTTTGTTTCATCAGTCTAAAATCATAAATCTTAATACATTTTATCTTTCTATATTTTTATTATGAGGGCATTTAGTTAATTACTTTGTTAAACACCTGTATAATTAGTTGATGCATTATATAAAAATAATGCCATAGTTGAGCAATATTTCATGATTGAGATTTAAAAAAAAAGAAACTATTTAAAGCATTTGTACTTTGATATATTTTTATTATTGTTATTATTATTTGTTTCTCAAAAAATGATCTCTCCGATTGTCTAGAAATTGTATTAAACAAAATCTTGAAAAGTAAAAAAAGTGTAGGCAAACTGATCAATAAAAAATTAAGTTATGCACAAGATATACCATGCGTTCTGATTTGTAAACTCACTGCTTGATAAAGAGCTGTTCGCGTTTCGATAGCAAAAACTGCTTTTTGACATGGTAAATATCAAAAATCTGATAAGCTATCCAGAACCTAGATAAATTGTAAAATCAAAATGTACCGTATTTTTCGGCGAAAGCGCCGCTTCGTCGCAAGCGCCGCACCTCGATAAAAATGAAATTTTTTAAAAAAAAGTTACAGTAAGCGCCGCAATGGCGCTAAACCGCGTATATCAGCATCCTTTTAGAAGAGACCTTTAAATTACCATTTAGAGTATCTGTATAATAAAAAATTAAATTTTTTTATGCATTTCATAAAGTAAAGTTTTAATTTCTAAATTATAATAAAAAATTTCTTTTTCAGCAAAAAAAAAGCAACAAAAAAAGTTTTCTCTTTCAGCAAAAAAAAAGAAAAGAAAACAACAAAACTATATAAAATAAAGTTGTTCTTACTAGTTGGCACCGCGCCAAAAAACAGAAGAACAGCAAAAAAATATTTATATGTTCAGTAGCTGAATTAAGGCTGAACTGATTACAGGAATCCGTAAAACAATGCAATAAGAAAAATAAAATAAAAATTTATTAAAAGAAAGATTTTAAAATAAAAAGATTTTAAAATTTATTACCGTTAACAATTTGAGGAAAAACTAATACATAATAACGAAACAGCTAATAATAACGAAATAACTAATAATAACAAGAATAAGAAATAACTAAACAGGCCCCAAAAAAATTCTGAAGAAATTAGCGAACGGGAAATAAGTTTCACTTTCACAATCTTTGAGGGTGGAATTTTAGTGGGTAGAATGCCCTCTCCTTCAATGGAAATAACCCAATGTGACTCAATATTTAAAAGGGGTTGGGGAAAAGAACAGGGTATGGGACCCCTAATCCAGCATTCCAAAATTTGGCACTTAATCTGATCTAATCTTTTTTTTTAATTTTTTTTTTTAAGAAATTTATATTGATAAGACAAAAAAAATCAGCTATATTCTTTTTATTTGGAATTTTATTCTGTTGAAGTAACTTACTTTATTTTATCTTTTAAAAATAAAAAAGCTTGAAAAAAAAATTATAAATCTGTGTCAAAAGAAACATCTGTTTCTTAAGCAGTTTAAAATAAAGTGAGAAGTAAAAACACTTGCATTTCCAATGAACAAAATAAAGAAATGGAAGTTGGAAAAAACTGATCAATCAATCTTGACAGCTGTGCTTGTGCTTTACCCCCAAATTTCCCTCTTCTGTTTGACCATAAATTGGCCACACCCAGTTGACATTGAAACTACCACGTGGACAACAAAATGAATTCTATCCCTTTTGCGGTTTTTTATTCGATTCATAAATTTTTTTTTATTTTGCCGCTTTTTATTTTTTCTTGTTAATTGTTGCTTGCTTTTTTTTTTTTTATCGTTATTAGTTTTTAGCTTGTTTTTTGTTGTTATTCATTGTTAGTTTCTTAGCATTAATTGTTAAAAAAAAAATTTTTTTTTTGTAGTTCCCTGTTAGCTTTTTTTTTTCTTCTTGCGAGGTAAGCGTCTTTTGTTAAAACAAAATGTTATCTAAAAGAAAAAACGAGAACTATGATCTCGCTCCAAAGAAGAAACGATTATTTCTTCTTCATAGGATTCTGATTATTTCTTCTTGATTATATTATATAGATTATTATTTTGATTAGTAAAATTTCTCTTAAGATGGGCCAGTTTTAAATTCACCCCATCATAATCTACGATCGAAACTTGACTAAATTTATTGGTTTTTCTGAAATTAACAGTGGAATTGAATTATAGTAATATTTGGGGGCCATATTGGAATTTCCGAAAGAGATCCGAAGTTCGGCATTTCGTCAGTCCCGTGAGTGTCGGATTTAGGGTCCTATTCTTCCTTTTCTGTTCGCTCAAATTACAATTGCCAAGGCGCTAAATAGATTTCTAGCTTGCGATTTTTCCTTAAGCTGGGGGTGGATACAAGATGCATACCTTTTAAATTTTCTCCTTATGCGATGTTTTTTTAAAATTATTATTTCGTTTATTTATTTTCTTACAGGCTGCTGCCGAAAGTTTGCTAAGAATTGGCGATGTCTTGCAGCAGATCGCGATACAGGCGAATATTTCGTCGACTTCGTTATGAATTTTTTTTAATAGTCAGAAAATTATTTAATCTTAAATAACTTTCCTTGACGAATTTTTTTGCTACTAAAAAATATTTCGTCGGAAGCGCCGCATGTAGGAAAAAAACAACTTTTTTTTCGATAGCGCCGTGGCTCTTCCGCCGAAAAATACGGTATGAAGTTTTTTAGAAGCACTATATTATATATATAGATCGAGCACGCCAACTCTATCAAACACCTGACTGCAATTTCGACTAGCGATCGATACCAAATGAGCGCCCTCTTCCAGTACTCACTCTTGTAAACAGTCATTTTTTGTAACATTTCTACTAAACAGACAATGTTTTTTAAAAATTTGTATAATATTAAACAAATTTTTGTGGATTTAGAAAAGAAAATCTACCAAAACATAATTTTAATGTTTCACCCCCCTTCTAAAATCAGTATACTTTTTTAAATTCTCCCAAATTCAGAGGTTGAAATGCCAGGTTAGAATTCATTGATTGAGAAGAATAGTGACAGGATAATTTTTTTTATCGAAAATTAGAGTTGTTAATTCGTAGTGCTATGATGTCAATGTTGATCAATATTCATTAGAAAATTAATTTGTCTAACTAATTTGTCTGATTTTTTACTATTTTAGTGTATGTCAAAATTTCTACTTACATAAAGTTATCCTTTGATATTTTTCAAGATCTGGGATACAGCTGGTCAAGAAAGATTCCAGTCTTTGGGTGTTGCATTTTACCGAGGTGCTGACTGTTGTGTTTTAGTCTATGATGTGACCAGTCCTAACTCTTTTAAATCACTTGACAGTTGGCGAGATGAATTTCTTATTCAGTCAGGGCCAAGGAATCCTGATGATTTTCCATTTGTAGTAATTGGAAATAAAATTGATTTGGAAAACCGAGCTGTAAGCATTTAATTTAATTCAAACTTATTATTTTTTTAATTAAATATTTATCTCTCAGCAGTATAAAATTTATTTTACTCAAAGTGTAAATCATCTCAAATTGAATTTTGGTAGCTAAAATCGAGATTTTTTTTCCTAAATTTGATATTTTAATAAAAATACATAAAAAATTTTATGTAGAATTTCAGTCGATAAACTAGAATCAATATTGTGCTATTGTTTTGCCCTTCTGCCTCAGCACTCCTTATTATTTTAATATGATGTAGTAAAAGAGTAACTATCTGGAATACACAGGAATTTTCTAATTCTGGATACTTTAGTGACAAAAATCTTAGTTTTTTGTCTGACCTTGTTTTCAAGGAGAAAAGTACTGCAGTTTAACCAAGAGTTTGCCACGATCTACATTTACAAAAAATTATATCTCTAAGAGATAGAAAACTATAATATTTGTCCATAAAAGTTATTAAAGAGAAATAATAAGGAATAAAATAGAAATATTTAAGTAGGAAAAAATGCAAGAGAGAAACAGAAAAAAATCATTTTTGGTTTTAAGTTTCATCTATTTTAATTTGTTAACCCCTAAATTCTTAGCCTTCCATGTTATCATATTTATTGAAAAAACTTCGTTCCATTATAAAAATGCCAATACAAACAAAGGTAAACTTGCTGTTTATAATAGTAATATAATAAAGAGGAAAAAACTAATATATGTCCTTAACCTGTTAAAAATAAATAACAGACTAATTAAGAGCTTAAAAACTACATAAAAAAAGTAAAATTGCAAAGCAGAAAAAACAAAAAGAATTTAATTTTTTTCTTTTTTTAAAAAAATTTCCTCTGTTTCAATTTTTTATGTAGGAAATCTGTTTTCCATATCATATTTTCTAGAAATGTGGCATGCCAGTGGCTATATTGTTATCGATTCTTTAAAAAAAAAAAAAAAAAAAAAAAAAAAANAAAAAAAAAAAAAAAAAAAAAAAAAAAAAAAAAAAAAAAAAAAAAAGAAGAAGAAAAGGAAGCTTTGGTATGTACCTCTTAAAAGAAATTTTGAGCAAAACTGGAATTTTAATAAAGACTCATTCCATGTGAAATGGACCAAAGCTTTAATGAACTAATTTTTATGGAAAATTTTTTGAGAAATTACATGCTGAAATAAAACTAAAAAGACTTCTTCTTTTTTTTTTTTTCAAATTTTTTGGTTCAATTTAATAAAGTGGCATAACTAGAAAAGGTGGCTCATACGTAATTATCATCTGTAACTGCTTTTTTTCCTTTACTTATAAGCTAATTTTGTGTCATTCGAAATGAAAAAGTACGTGGCAATGCAATAAAAATATTAAAATGTTGTAAATATCTTAAGTAAGTATGTATTTAAAATTTTCTATTAAAATGGCACCTACTTTAGAGAATTTTTTTTTTAAATTTCAGAAAAGTTAAATCATAAGTTTTACAATGTTTTCATGCTTTTCAACTTCAAGGAAAAAACAGAGGGTTTTTTTTTTTAAATTTCTTTTTCTTTGTGTATTTAGTTTTTGACAAATTTTTGTGTTAGAGTATCATTTGACAATAAAGCTTTAAAAAATGGAAATAAAGACTCTAATTTATTAGAATAGGAAATATAGCACTTAAAAATTAAGAGCCAAAAAAGTTTCTGTTGTAGTTTCCTATTACAATTTGCCTTTTTTTTTCTTCATATCAACAATGAAAGTTAAAAAAATTTTCCTTACTTCTTTTCTTAGTGTTTCCACTTCATTTATCAATTTTTTACAAGACTTGAAATATTCATCAAGTACTTTGATGATCTTCAATTCTTCCAATCAAATAATTTTATTTAAAATTCATTCGTAACAACTATCTGCTTGTTGTCCACATTTCCATTTTATAATACCGAATTTAGATATAGTGAGGTAAAAATTAATATTCTGATAAATTAAGTGCTTAGTTAATTTTTTCATCAGTTTAGGCCTAATTATGTCAGCTTAAAATAGTTTATTAATTAACTCATTACGTCAAATCAGCTGAGTTTTTCCAAACAATTAGCAATTTTACTTAATGCTTAATTTATGCTATACTTATATTTCAATCATGTGCCTATAACAACTAATACTTTCAATTGCTAAATAAGGTGAAAAAATTGAGTTTATTGAACTTTGTTATTTCACTGAAATATTTTCGCTTTGAACCATTGATTATTATTTTTTAATGACTAAAAACACCCTCTTGATTTTTTTTATGTTGAAAAGTATGAGATATTAAATAATGTGAAAAAAATTTCCTATGAAATGAGTTCAATACAAATAGCAGCATTTTAATAGTTTTATTGCTTGATTCTCTACTTTTTCTTACTAATGACTCTGAAATTAAAAAAGTTACAGACGTTAAAAGCCACCTTCTCTAGTTATAATATTTTGTTGAGTTGAATTTCAAAATGGCACTCTTATTATAGTTTTCGCTCAAAAAAATGTTGAGAAAAAATAATTTTAGTCCTTTTTTATCACATATTCTTACACTCAAAAGAGGGTGCGTAGCGTTTTTAAAAAGTGTTTAAAGGTGCTTATTTTCGTTTTTTAAAAGCCCTTAAAGGGGCTTTTTTCCATAAATTTTTTTAAAAAGTGCTTAATTTTCCCCTTTCCGAAATTTGATTTTTTTCTTTACCGTGTTGACTTTCGCCACAAATTATGCAAAAAGACTTTGTTCTATTCAACATTTTCACAATTAATTCAACCCCAATCTATTTCGGCGTACCGCCAGTCTGTAGTGTATGAAAGCACCATTTGTTTTACATGTTTGATGAAATACTTGCTGGCCCGCACTTGCGTATACTGAGCTGGATTCAGTGTTAAGGATATTTGACTCTCATATGGAACCCTGCTGCATTATTTTGAAAGAGATTCTCAATTTCAGACTTCATTTTCCGCCCTCTGTTATAGAATCGAATAATATAATTTTCCGCCCTCTGTAATAGAGTCGAAAAATCTCTAAAATTTTTGCTGATTACGGGGACCAACTAAACATTGTAAATTTTTTTCTCTATTAGTGAATGAAAATTTCATTTCTCTTGTTAATTTCATCATTTGTGACGCGCCATCGTCTTTGTCACTGTAATTAAAGCCATTAACAAAGTAAATAACTTGCCAACCCTGTCTAATTATGATATTTTTCAAAGTGCTTAAAAATATTTTTTGAATCCTTGAAAAGAGCTTAATAGGTGCTTATTTTTTGTTGAAAAAGTTGGCTACACACCCTGAAAAAGTTTCCAGAAAATCTGTTGCATAGCAATAACAAGATTTTTATTTTGGTTCAATTCAAATTGAAGGAGCTTAAAATATTAATATAAATAGAGCTAATTATGTGTGATATACTAATCATGGAATTATTTGTATGCTGTAATATGTAACATTTATGTAACCTGAAAGATATTATTTTAATATATATCTGCTATTTTAAAGTTAACAGTACTGCTACTAATTTTAAGTGCCTAAAAAGTAAGTATTATGGTAAATTACTGTTATTCAATTAAGCCTGCTCATAGTTAAAATTTTTATTAAATAAAGAAGTATACTTAATTTACCATATAAAATTCTGCTTCCTGAGACATTTACAAAAAATATAAAAAATTTTAAAATGTAGGATTTATTGTTGTGTGGAGTCACAGCGAAAGTTAGTATCTCTTCAATATTTATATAATTGAAATTTGTTGTTGCTGAGGCAGCTAAAGATATTAACTTTATTATTCTAAACTTTTGTACAAATGTGAAGAAATGGTAAATTTAAAGCACTACTGTGAGTGTATAAACAAAATACATGTCTTCAAAATAATGCTTAATTTAATAACAATTGTTCTTTCTGAAAAAAAAATCATTATGAAGACAAATAAAAACAAAACAAATATAAAATGCGTAGTTTTGCTCTGTGAATGAAGTTAATGAAAAAATAAACAACACTTAAAATTTTTAACCCTTTTGCTTGAGACATTTCATGTGATAAATCACCTCCCAGGGCTGTTTTTTATTTCAATTATTTTTCTTACTAACACAAGACTATTGCATGAGATTAGGAGAAAAAAGTAATAAACTTCAAAAATATTTTTCAGTTTATTGTTGTGTGATTTGAAAGTACTGTCTTTCTGTTGAATGACCTATGTGTGCTTTTCAACTTTGAAGCTTAAATTTGATCATTAGGCCAAAAGTAAATCGGAGTGGTTAGATGTAGATATTTTGTGGTTAATTCTGAAATCCTATTTTTCTTTTGGAACTTACTCTTTTAACCTTATTTTAATGAATTATTGGTGATATTTTGCAGATTTCTACAAAAAGGGGACAAGGCTGGTGCCAAAGTAAAAACAATATTCCATTTTACGAAACCAGTGCTAAAGAGTCTATAAATGTTGAACAAGCATTCCAGGCTGTTGCCATGAGTGCTTTGACACAAGAACAAGATGCAGAATTATTCAATGACTTTCCCGATCAAATAAAATTAAGCAATAATGAAAAGCAGTCCAGGTCTGATAGCTGTGCTTGCTAATATTATCTATTTTTGGGTAAGAAATTTAATATATATCTAGAAAGTGATTAACTCAATCCTGTTGTTACATGCTAAGAAAAAAACAAAAGTGCATTTAACTATGCAGATAAAAGGTTTGTTTTTAAGAGAACTTTTGACTTATCTCGCAGCTTTTAAATTATCCAAAGGAGGGAAAAAGCTGCAGAGTGTAAATTTTGTATAGAAGAATATGTTGTAAACAATTATATATGTTATATACATATTGCATAATATTGATAGAATCTTTTAATTTGTTGTGGAAAGTTATCTCATTTTTACATTATTTGAGCTTGTGCATCGTCTTGACTTTTTAAAACTATCTTCTTTTTTTTTTACTGCAATAATTGTTATCACATTTACTTTAATGTATGATTAAAAGTGCAACAATTGAAATTTTATTTTTATTTAAATGTATGTTTTATAAAATAAATTTTGAAATAAAAAGTTTTTTAACTCTCTGATTAATGTCTTATTTATTCTGAAGGAAACTGAATGTTACATGACATTTTCTTTTTTATAGTAGTACCAAATTTAAAGGGGAAAAAAAAAAAACAGTTGTCTTACACTTATTAACAAAAGTATTACTCACCCATTTCTGTTATGGTTAGAAGTATTGGGGAGGTTGCAAAGGTCTTTTTTTTTTTTTTTTTTTNTTTTTTTTTTTTTTTTTTTTTTTTTTTTTTTTTTTTTTTTTTTTTTTGAAGCATTATGAGAAATTAAGGTTAAGATTTTCTAGATTAAGCATGCAAAATGAACAGATCAAAAGCCACCTGTGGCTGAAAAGGCTGCAGTAGAATTTTTTTTATTTTTTTAAATTTATTTCATAACTATTTTATTTATTTGAGAAGTCGGAATTTTGAAATTTCATTTTTTGAAAAATATTTAATCAGTTCTTTTAAAGTTTGGAATTTTCCCATTAAAATTACATAGTTAAAAAAAAATCTAAATGTTGTACACCTTTACAATTCAAACATTATCATTGTTTAAATAAATAATGATAGAAAGTTGTGTATAGTATGAAACTATATTTGGACTGCCAAGTTTTATAATTATGTGGAAAAGCTATTTTCATTTGTTTGAATAGCTTTAGAGATGCAATGAAATATGTAAAATATATATGTATAAATATATTAATACATAACATTAAGAAGAGGAGGTGTAAACATCAATCATTCTCCTAACTATATTTTGAAATTAAGTCTCCCTAAAAAAAATTTGTTTTCAGAGAAAGTATGCTTTTGTATGACTTCGTCTGCACTAATTAAATAGCATGTTCTATCCCCTTACTATTGATATTGCATTGTTATCTAATTGGATTTAATTGTGTAAAAAAACTGATCTTTAGATCAAAAGTTATCTTGTGCAATGTACAGTGCGTAAAAAAAAGTAACTAAACGAAACACCCTGAAAATCTTTCAATATAATAGTAATATTTTTATTAGATTTGACAATTCCTGTTTCCCAAAATATAGGGGGTACCCACAATCTGGGGAGTAGAATCCTAATAGTTTGGTAAGAAGAGAAGACAAAAGTTTAGACCCCTTAATATTAATTTCACTTTTTGTGTATTTTGCCATGACTCGTGAGCTTTTTAAGTGAATCTATAAACTCTTCCACACAGGCTTAATAATATTTATATGGCTTAATACAAAATCGGTCTAATAGTTCCTAAGAAATCAAATTTTGAAAAGTCAGTTATTTAAAATCTGATTTCTCAGGAACAACCCAACCAATTTCATTCAAACTTTATATTTTGCCATGAAAAATTACATACTTTAAAATGATGTAAAAATTTGTATACAATAGAATTCTAAAATTTTTCGACTATTTATTAAATAATTATTTAAAATTTTTTTGCCCGGAATTATTTTTTTATAAACATATTTTATAATTGCGTGCAAAAAATTTTCAATTCACTTAAAAAGTTCTCGAGATATGCAGGGCTGATTGTGCTCCGGAAAAAATCCTGATTTCCGGATTTTTCGCTAACAGTGATCTGGAAGTTTCCGGAGATCGAAGGTCAGACGTTTCAAAAAATCATTGATCATAGAAGTTTCCGGAAATCAAATTTTCAAATGTGGAACTTAAAAACACAGTTTATTTTATTTGTTTGTAAGGGAGAGCCAGAGTGATACTTTATAAGCTTATATTCATGATTAATATTCATTTTTTATCAGTAAATGGTTGTTATAATCATAAACTCAAGAAAGACATAGTTGTAAATTTTAATTACTTCTCCAGGTCATCATAGGTATGTGTAAAATTTTAAGTAAACACAGAAATATTGAGAAAAAGGGAAAAAACCTAGTTAAAATTTTTTTCTGATTTTTAAATGTAAACCGTTTTTTTTTGCAAGAAATTTTCCGGAATTTTGACTTGGGCTTACAATCACCCCTGGATATGGTAAAATATGTAAGAAGTAAAATTGACATTGAGGGGTCCAAACTTTCGACAGCTTTCCTGACCAAACTATTGGGAACATATTCTCGAAGAAATTAAAAATATTATTATTGATTAAACATATTGGAATAGTGGTTTTGATCATAAAATGAGAGTGGAATTGTGAGGCACGTATCAGTTTTAAAATAGTTCACTTATTTTCTCATGATCAATTTTCTTTGGAGTGATGTTTTTCTGTTAACAAGGTTATCATAGCTGATGAAAGACCAAGGATGAGTTTAAGCGCATTAGATAAGTCGGGGATTTAGTAAAGATTTTGCTTAAAAATACAGTTGATGAGGTTACAGAGTTACTAAAATATGATTTTTTTAAAAAATAGTTTCTTAAAATTTATTTTATAAATTTTTAAATTAAAATTTAAATATTATTATTAATTAAATATAATAAAATTAAATATTTATAATTTATTTTTATTTAATTTTCAAATAGCAATAAAAACAAATGGTGACAATATATTTGAAACTTTTAATACTATGTAAAAAATTATTTTATACTAACATATAAGAAAAAAATCTTGTGATTCTAATTTTCTTAAAATGGAATAGAAATATACCAACTACTTAAAAGTAGGCTAAAAGGAGCTAATCAAAACTTTAACTTTACAAATCTTATTTTTTTTAACTTTTAAAATGACAAAATATATTTTGTTAAATAAGCACACTTAGCATTTTGTCACGCATTTTATACAAAATAAATGACTGAATAATTAAAAATAAAACCTGCATCTGGAAAGGCATTCTGAAGATATTTATGTACAGCTTTATCTTCTAATGCCATGTATTTCATATAAAACACCAATGCTTATATTGTTTAGTAATAATGAAATTTATTTTCATTATTACTAAATTTATTTTCATTATTACAATCTGAAAGGGATTGTTAAAGCTGTTTTGGGCGTTGATATTTTAAAATTTCATTTTTTTTAATTTTGCATTCTGAAACATGATATATTAAAAAAACACAATGCAGCAATAAATAAAAATCTAGGAAGACAAGAAAGAGATCATCTAGTATTACGAAGGAAGCCCACAGCAATATAAAGAAGGAAAAATCAAAAGATCTCATAAAGAAAATTACGATCTTAAACAAAATAGGGCTAAAATAAAATCAACGAAAAGAAAACACTTAGAACGTTTCTCGAATCATTGAAGAAAATCAGAAATATACTTAGTTTTCATATTCATTATGAAAAATAAAAATTTGTTTCGATTTCGATATTTACAACCAGTTGTACTGGACCAAGGTACAAACTTTTCTATATCATCTCAGTATTAGAGTCCTTAGTTCAAAAAAATTTCTTTTTACTTTAGTTTAATTCAAAGCATTATTAGATAATAAAATAAATTATTAGTAGGAAATGTCACAGGCTACTCTGAGTAAGAAAAATATATATATAAAGCTACAAAGAAATAATCTATAAATTTCCACAATTAAAAACAACATATTGAATTGTATATAAGTTACTACGTCTCATTTGTGTATTTCACAGGCAAGGAATTCACATTAATATTTTTAAATAGTCTGAGCTTCTTTGATTTACCGATGAGAAGCAGGGGAAATTTATCAGTTCCACTTGCATTTGCGCAAACTAGAAGGGACACTCGGTCTTTGCTCTTCTTGTAACCTGGGGCACTGGCTTCTTCTTTAGATGCCAAAGTTTTCGATGGCATCATTCTGTAAAACAAGCCAGTTTCATCGGCGTTATAAATTTGATATAATGTCAAATTTTCTTTTTCAATCATTTCTTCAAATCTTTCAACAAAGTCTTTAGCAGATTCTATAATGGCAGACAACGTTTCACCTGCAATCGCCAGTTGTCGAATTCAATGTCTCTTTTTAAATTTATCTAACCAACCTCGACTTGCACAAAAACTTTCATTTTTGGCTGAGAAGAAGGGCTTTCTCTTTTAGAATGTTCCCGGAAATAGGAATGCCCTGCGTGCGTTGTTGCTTGAACCAAAGATAAACTGCTTTTAAGTTTTTCAGATTTTGCTTTCTTTAATGTCGATCGTCCTTCTAAGGCTTTTGACGAATCCCTCTTTGAACAAAAAGCCTCTATTTGAGCTTTGTTACGTCTCCAATCGCCTACAGTGGTTTCACCAACTCCAAAGCAACTTTTTTCAAAGCAATTCTTTTAATAGCCTCAAGCTTTATACTCATCGAAACAACAACTCTCTTTCTTTTTTGGTTTGGCATTTTAAAAATGAACAACTTACTAGTGCTATGGTCAAACGTGAAATGATTTAAGCAAAGGTTCACTATGAAATAGGGGATTCACGAAAGAAAAGGCAAACAGAAGAATGTTATGAAACACAAATGCCTATTGTAAGAGTGGCCAATCCCCTCCCCCAGCAGGGGGGGGGGTGTCAGTGTCTCATAACATATTGCACCTGGTATTCAATAGGGTCACATGACCACTGTTAACAAAGCATTCATAGATGTTGTCTTCTCAGGGGCTTCTCCTGCTTTTGAGGGGAAAAAGTGCCTGTAACACGGACAACGATCTAAAATTTGTATAATTTTTTCCAAGCTCATTTTGGAAAGGAGAAAAAAAGGTTTAAAAAAAATTAGACTTCGTTATTGCCTCGGTTAATTGAGGTTCTACTGTAAATGGTTTTTATGTCATGCTCAGAAACATACAAAATTACCAATACACATTTTATATATATATATATAATGTGTATTGTATTTGTATATATATGTACATATTTTAATATTTGATATATTTTAAAAATATAGATATATTTTTTAAAGAAATTATGTTCTTTTTAAATTAGTATCACTCAATTAGGTTTTACAATCTTATTGGGGTTTATCCTTCCAATAATTAATATTTAAATTGGTGCTTATGTATTGGGTTTTAATTGTTTGTTGCGATTTTGCTTTCAAAAATGAAGTTACGTATGATTTAATTTTAATTTTACACAGATCACTTATAATTTTTTTTGCAACAATTTTCAATTCTTCGTACTTATAACAGAATTGCTTTTTTTTATTAACATTGCTCAGTAAATTCCCTTACTCTTATTTTCCCTTTCAGTGATGTTTATAGTTTTGACATTTTATTATTTCTAATCAGAGATGTCATATCTTAAATCACCTGATTTTTTTTTATATAAAATAATTTACAAATGCTTTTTTAGAGTTGTGATTTTATTAAAAATTCTATTTCAGATTTTTAATATAAATTTTGTTGAATTTTATGTAAATCTACCAGGAAAAATAGTTTTTTTTTTGAGTATGAACCCTGAAATAAGAACTCCAGTAAATGAATAGTTGAAATATGCGTCATAATTGCAAGCAAAAGTTCCTAATAATGTAGGGTAAAGTAAAAGTTATTAAGGATAGTAAAAAAGCAATAAGCACATGAATATTAGTTGCACTAAATGGCTGTGTGGAAAATAAAATATACAATGACTTTTGATACTGTTTGTGATTTTTATATTTTTTTGGGAAACCAATTCGTTTATCTAAATGATGGGCATCTCTTAACACTGGCCACAGAGGCACAGTCTTGCAAGAGACCGCTGTTTGGAGATTTTACAGTGTATATGTAAATATTTCTGTATATAAAAAAGTGAAACTGATACATCACTGCTATATGGATGTTTAAAAGTTTACTAGCATTCCAATAATTATGAGACATGTTTTTAGATATTATTAATAATGCAAAAGCTTAATTTAAGACTTTCATCCCTACATTCATAAACAATCCTCTCACAGACTGTGCAAAATGTGTAATCAGTTGTAAGGTTTCAAGTGATAGAAAGATGAAGTTCTATGTACCTTCTAAGATAGTTATGAATGGTGTGTCTTCTCTGCATGTTTATGAATCTAGAATTCATGTTCTAGAATTTCTAAACATAGAAAACTGTATACAAAATTACAAACTGTCCAAAATTACAAATTGTGCTTTTAATGTATACAAGTAATGAAACCATTTAAAGTTATTCAATTCTTGTGAATAAACATGTTTAATTTTAAAAAATTAATCTTCACACTCTTTATGTATTTTAGCATCTGTTCACTTTAGATCAAAACTAATATAAACATTCAATTGAATGAAAAAATATAATGCAATTAAAAACATTTTTATTTAAAAAAAACATGTTTATTAACAAACAATCGAAAATATAAATAACATTTTTATATTAAGTATTTTATGTGATTATAATTCTAAAGAAGGAAAAAAAACTTAAAATGCCTCTTAATAAACTTTTGTTTATTTTTTAAATGCTAAATGAGTATTTGTTATTAATTAATTTATTTTTGAAGATTTTTGTTTAAAGCTAGCAACAGCGATCTCTTTCTACTTCAGCTTCCATCAACCGTAATGAATCTTTAGACCTATTGAATCCTGTTCTTATTCCATCCCAACCATCAAGCATTTTGAATTCACCAGTCTGAATTTTTTCATAAATTTGCTGGGAAATAGTTGCAAAAGCTTTTTCTAAATTATATCCAGTTTTTGCTGAAGTCTCAATAAAAGATAGTCCATAAGAATCAGCAAATGCTTTTCCTTCCTCTGTTGTAACAACTCTACTACTCTCTAAGTCGATTTTGCAAGCAACAACCTATGAAGGAATATAAGAAAATAGTTTATATCACTGTTAGATAAACATTTATGTTTAATGACATTCAATTAAGCTACAAGAACACACTACAATATAATATAATATACAGTATGTTTCGTAATGACCGCCCTCAATGGCTTCCCTGCTAATTCCGAGTTATCTCAAGTTCATTGCATTGCAATTAATTATCATCCAGTGAAAACAGCAACATAGCAGACATTGTCAATATGCTTTGTTCCATCACAGTTTTACTTGGCTAAAGAAAATATTTTGCCTTGATTGGAAGTTTTCTAGTTTTGCTTGAATGGCAGATCAAGACATTGATTTTAGTCAAATAGCATATTAGCAACTGTGAAAATAATTAGTACATCATAAATAAATAAACTTCAGGCCAATGTTTTTTAAATAATAGTGACTGCTAAAAAAAAAGATAAAACTTTTTCTAGTGGTTAGTAGCATTTTTGAACTAAGTGGTTTCAGACTCAAAAATGAATGTACATTTTGTTTCAGTAATTGTACTTAATAATGAAATTGAAAGAAAAATTCATTTTTCCAAGAAAAAAAAATTATAAGGAATCAGTTAAATGTTATTTTTCTATTTTCATAAAACCGAAAGCGAGTTGTAATTTATAGTTTTTTTTCTTCCTTCTTTTGCCATGCAAAAACGGATATACCAGTAAAACTACTTAAAAAAAATTAAACTCTTTAATGTTTGCTTAAATAAAAACATTAACAGAAAAGAAAATTTCAATTTTTTTGTCTTTATAACAACAACAGTAGATGTCCAGGCTCAATGCTCTTCAAAAAATGAATGCAAAATTTCATGAAATTAAATAAAATTAGACATCTACAAAAAGAAATTCATAACATTAATTTTTAAAGCTTATGGATGCTGTGTAATAATAAAGATGAATTGGTGATGATAACTTATAAATAAGCTCTCTTAAAAATGAATGCATGTAAAGAACACCACATATTTGAGCTTTTATTTTTGCAAATTTTTAATTTTGCATTTTATTTTTATCTCTAGCAATCATAACCTAGAATACAGATTTTGCGTCTGACTAGCTTTAAAAAATTCCCACACAAGAGCAAAATTACACTTAAAATATCGAAGTATACAAAGAAAAGCAAATAACATCAGCTATAACCTGACAAACCCTAAGAATATTTGTATTTTAATTTACATAATTAATATTGCTTCTATTTTTTTTTCATACAATTTAGTTAATTTTTATCATCTAATTTATATAACAGGGTTCCCACTCTTTTATCAAAGCAAAAATTAAGCACTTTTAAGGACTTTTATCAAAAAAATTAAGGACTTTTTTTCTAGAAATTAAGGACCTTAAAAATGGCATAATGATTATTTATCATCAAATAAAACATCATAGATTAATAATAATAGATTTAAAAAATGGAATAGCTTTTCTTCAACTCAGTAATCCTTTAAAAAATAAAAAATAAATAAAGAAATGTTTAATACAAATAATCTGTATTTAATTAAAATTAAATTGCATTTAATCACCTCACTTGAGCTTTTAAGAATATAAAGAAAAAAAGAAAAACTCAAAGAATGCAGATTAAACAGATTTTCTATTTTAAAAGTAGAAAAAAACTGGGTAAACAGATAGAAATATATAAATTAAGATGGTAAATTCATTAAATTAATAAAAATATTATTTTGAGTGACTAATACTAAACCAAGACAAAAAGAAACTAACAAATATAAGTTTATTGAGGTTAAGACAATTATTTGAAACTAAGTAAAACCTAATTATAATAAGCTAAAGATTTATTAAAATCACAAAATATAAAAAATTTAATGATTAAAATCAGAATGTATATTTAGTACCTAACAATCAGGAAATAAGAAAGAAATAAACTACAAGGAAAACTTATTAATTAAAATTAAGAACTGAGAAACAGAAATGATAGTTAAAATAAGTGCTAACATAAATATTGAAACACAGGACAAGGCAGGATGTAATGATCAATTGAAATAAAAATGAAAAAATTCCATATCTAACAACTGAAAATGAAATGAATAATTCATTGAGTACAATACTTATCGTGAATGAAGGGAAAAAAACAACAAAATGTAGTGGAATCAGAAACATCATTTATAAAAGGAGATAAAAATCTTGATGAAATAGTCTGCTTTTAGTTATTTAAAATTTTATGCTTGCACTGATAAGCAATACTGCACCTCTAAGGAATTAGAATTTATTCAATTAAAAAGTATTGTGTCTTGTATAGATATTAAAGAAACTAAAATAATCGACGATACAAAAATTTTGTTCGTAATAATTAAAGTATTGTCCGAAATTATAAAAAAATAATTTGTCAAATAAATCAAAGGTAATGAAAATTGGATGCAAATATGGATTTTATATATTACTATTATTATAAAATAGGGAATAATGAATAGTGATTTGGTCAAATAGTCAAATATCCGGCCAAATAAATCGGCCGCATACCCAATGATCAAACAACATTTTAAAAAAATCCTCAAGAATTATTATTCTTTATGTAAAAATAGGCCTGGGCGTTGTAAGAAATTTTACATCGTGATAGATTGTCAGTCAGACATCGCGATTTAACATGTTTTAAATTTATCAATCCGAAATCAATCAAAAATAAATAAAAGAAATAAATCTATAACAAAAGAAAATTTTAATTCTAAAAAAAAATTGCTTCTATAACATCAATAGCATTGCTTAATTTTTTCAATTAAAATAAAGATGAATTGACTTAAGACTGTCTTAATGTAAAAACAAACACAAGCTTTATTTTAATTTTTTTTAAATTAAAAATGAGTTAGATTTTTTAAAAATAATAATAAAACTGTTACAAAATATTTTACATACATTACAAGATAATAAAAAAAAAAAGAAATGTCCACTTAAATAAAACATTTTTTAAATTATTTGTTGAAAAAAAATGCGTTTTTGAAACATCATTAGGCTTTTGTTACTTATTTAAAATAATGAATTGGAATTGACTAATGGTGAAATGGTTTTAATGAAAAAATAAATGCAAGTTTTTATTTATTATTATTTTCTTTTTTGAAAATGAAATAGACTAAAGATTTAAATGTTTAAAAATAATACTGACTATCCAACAAATTATTAAACGAACACGTATAGAAGGAATTTTTGAAAAAATAAAAAAAATATTCTATATTTAAAAGCACTATTGTTAAATTATTGAAAAGCGTTAGACATTGCCTAACTTTCCATTTAATTTTAAAAAATTCAGTCATTTTAACTAACAGCTAAATCTAAATAAAAAAAAAGACAGAAAGAAATAACACAAACTCTGTTTCAATTTCCTCAAAAATAAAAGCAAATTAATTAAATGTAGGCTTTGCTTTAATTTTTTTTAAACTAAAAGCGACTGAAAATTTATTGGTTTAAAAACTAATAAAAAAAAAACTAACTTTTTATGACAAAGTATAAATTACTTAAATACAAAATATATAAAATATTAAATTGTATCACTTTCAAAAAAATCAATAATGAATCTTCTTTTTTAATTCACGATTACTTTTCATTAATATATTAAGTTCAGAACGAAAATTTAAAATAACAGCGATTGCGCAACGATCACCAAGTAACAGTAGGTCTGCTGAAAATAATTGACAACGTTAAATCCAGACAGAAAAAAAAGTGATGAAATAATGCGCAACAATCGCTATGTAGCAAAAATCTCACAGAAAATAATTTACATGAAACGTTATATCCCGTCGAAATAAAACGCACAGCGATCGCAAAATAAGTCCCGCTGAAAATAATCTTCAAGAAACGTAAAATCCCAAGGTAAAAAATGGCGCATAAAGAAACTATGCATCGCATATGCTGATCCTCTCTCTTTGTTATACAATATATATAACGAAACGAGCATCATTTTCGCAGCTAAAGATGTAATAAACATCTTCGCAGCTCGACGAAATCAAAATAGTCTTCGTCAGCGCTGTGATAGCGTTAGCATAGGCAAGAATCCCCGCACGTTAAACCACGAGCGCCGTCTTAAATCAGATTCCTGATGCATTGCCAAAAATAAAAGTAATTATATTGGACTGCCGATATGTGCGTTAAGTCGATAATTCGCGATACATCGATTTAAAAATGTCTAAGAGTAGTGCTCGTTAAAATTGCCGCATCATAACAAAAACAAGAGTTTTTTTTCTAAATGGGAAAGCCAAACAGAAATAAAAAATCACTCTCAATTTTTATAAGAAAAATTTAATGTTGAAAATTACACTTTAAGCGTTTCCCATCGCGGGATTTTTAGAAAAAATGACGAAAAAGAAGGCTCTTTAAAACATGCTATCAAAATAAATAAAAAAACACAATTAATCAAAAAAGCAAAAAAGAAACAGAAAATTTTCCTAAATTCTTAAAACAAAACTTGCAACGTAGAAAATCAATTTTCTATATCACCGGTAATCTAATTATCTGTATAACTTTAAAAGAAAAAGTGGGGGAAAAATATATAAGAAACGCTGTTAAAATGCCGCGCTATAAATTTTTTTTTTTTTAAAAAATAACATAAGTGAAAAAAGGAAACAAACATTTCAATCTTTATAAAACAAAAAGTGTCGATGATAAAATGACTTTCCTGATTAAAATTATACTTCGCCGAATATTCGTAATGTCCCTAATTTTAAAAAATTTAGTCATTTATAAAATTCAATTTCAGAAGAAAATATGATACAATGAAAAAATCCACTTTGATTTGTGATGATCACTAGATGCTGTTAGCCATTCCTTATATTTTTCATCAAGTGTCCATAAATTATTAAAAACACACTTTCCTGGCATTTTTAACAATTTCACATTTGAATGAAGCACAAAAGCTACCATATGAGGTATAAGAATTGAATTTCTCGAATCCTATGGATGTAGAACAGTATATCCCAAAGTGTAGTACGTGTACCCGAAGGGTTACAGGAACAGTTTAGCGGGGGTACGCGTTCTTATACAAAATATCTTACA